TAAGGTTATGGACAAAACAAGTGCTTCCAAAGATACGGGGTGGAAGAGAGAACAAAGGTAAGTGGGGAAACATGACAGAGAATGGAACTTGGTTCTGGATAGCTGAAGATGGTATACGATTAATAAGATAGCAAGATGTAAGAACTGCATCCCCCAAAACGCAATGGAGCATGAGATTGTATGAGTGAGGTACGAGCAGTTTCAATAAGATGTCTATTCTTTCTTTCAGCTACCCCATTTTGTTGAGATGTGTACGGACAAGATGTTTGATGAATAATCCCATGAGATTTCATAAACTGCTAAAATGGGGAAGACAAATACTCTCGGACATTATCACTACGAAATGTGCGAATAGAAACCCCAAATTGATTTTGAATTTCAGCGTGGAAGGTCTGGAAAATAGAAAACAGCTCAGATCGATTTTTTATCAAAAATATTCAAGTGGAACTGGAATAATCATCAATGAAACTGACAAAGTAGCGGAATCCCAAAGTGGAACTGACCCGACTAGGACCCCAAACATCTGAATGGACTAAAGTAAAATGTGACTCTACTCGATTATCAAGACGCCGAGGGAAATGGGAGCGGGTATGCTTACCAAGCTGACATGACTCACACTCTAGAGCTGACAAGTGAGATAAACCAGATACCATTTTCTGAAGTTTTGACAAACTGGGATGTCCCAACCGTTTATGTAAAAATTCTGGTGAATCAGTAACAGGACAAGTTGTAGAAGGAAGACAAGATGTGAGTCCATGTGATTTAGCAAGGATAAGGTAATAAAGTCCGTTTGATTCACGCCCGGTACCAATGATCCGCCCCGTACTGCGTTCCTGTATAAAAACATGGTCATCAAGAAATAAAACAGTGCATTTAAGTGATTTGGCTAAGCGACTAACAACTATGAGATTAAAAGGACTATTAGGAACATAAATGACTGAATCTAAAGGTAAGGAAGGAAATTGGCTTGCTTGACTTATTGCAGTTGCTATGGTTTGAGACCCATTGGCCATTGTGACTTTTGGAAGAGATTGAGAATACGAAATAGTAGTGAAAAGAGATTTCTTACCAGAACTATGACCTCATGCACCTGAATCAATGACCCAAGACTCAGAGGATGAAGATTGGGAGAAACAAGTCACGCTATTACCTGTTTGAACAACAGAAGTTATCTCAGAAGATGTCTGCTTACATGCTTTATACTGAAGGCACTCAATATAATCTGCTAAAGAAACCATCCGACTATTCAAAGCATCGGTTCCCATGTCGCTACAATTTGTAGTAGTAGGATTTAACTTGAAATAGAGGAAATAAGTAACTCCTGTAAAAACTGAAGAAATAGCTTGAAAAATACGGTTTACGGCAGGAAAACAGAACATTGTTCTGCGCCGGAAACACTGTAGCTCGCCGGAAAATTCCAAAGTTGTCGGAATTTGTCGTAACCAGGATGGATAGACTCGGAATTACTTTGCGAGCAAGTTGTCCTGAAGAAATGTTTTCAAAAAATGGCCAGAAAGGTCACTGTTCACGCCGGAAAAATATAAAAGTTGTCGGAATTTGATTTGAATTAGATGGGTAGGCTCGGAATTTTGAGGAGAGCATACTGTCCTGAAGAAGCTTCGCGAAAAAATGGCCGGAACCCTTGCCGGAAAAGTGCGTGGCGGCTTTTCTGCGATAAAATTTTAGGGGTTGGTTGTCGGAGGGTGATCTACCTCGTGGTGGTGTTGGTTTTAGCACAACACCGACAGAAAGTGACTTTTACTTAGACAAGCCTTAGGTCACCGGAAAAATTGCACGATGACTAAGTTCTTTCTTCCCGGTTAACGCTGGAATGACGCACAACGATCTTTACTCACTAATGCTCTGATACCATGTGAGAATGCACGGGAGAAAATATGTTATTGATATTGGCTGATAAATACAATACAAGAGGTCCCTATTTATAGCTATACACTACAAGGAGATATTACTCATCTTCCAATGTGGGACAAGACTACACTATACATATCTATAAACTAACATTGTCCAATGCTGGCTTGGGCAAAGAATTTTGGGCTGAGGCAATAACATATGCATGCCACCTCATTAATCGTCTACTATCTGCCGCTATTTGAGGCAAGACACCATTTGAAAAATGGTATGGAAAAACTGCTGAAGATTATAATTTTTTGCATGTGTTTGGCTCAATTGCATACTATCATGTGAAAGAGTCAAAATTGGATCTGAGGGCAAAGAAAGCTATATTTATGGGGATTACTTCTGGAGTCAAAGGAATTATGGTGTCCAGAGACAAGAAAAATTATATTCAACAGAGATGTTACCTTTGATGAATCTGCCATAACAGATAAGGTGACAGTTGAAGATGTCAAACAAACTGATGGTGCTTCAAAGCAGGTGGAGTTTGAGGGAAAATTAATTTTTCCAACACAGGGAGAAAACGAGGAAACGATAGAAGATTTTACCCTGGAAGAAGAGTCGGTGGAAGGGGTGATTCCAACTCAGGAACCCCAACAACAACTTGAATCAATAGCAACCAGCAAACCAAAAAGAACAATAAAGAAACTTGTTCGTCTCATAGAGACGGTGGCTTTTGCAGCCTCAATTGTAGCTGATGGTGTTCCTACCACTTATAAAGACACAGTCCAAAGCTCAGAAGAAGATAAGTAGAGGATTGCCATGAATGAAGAAATGCAGTCCCTTCATCAGAATTGCACATGAAAATTGGCCAATCTCCCGAAGGGCAAGAAAGCAATTGGGTGCAAATGGGTATTTTCAAAGAAAGAAGGATTTCCTAACCAAGAAGATGTTCGATACAAAGCAAGATTGGTGGCCAAAGGGTACGCTCAAAAGGAGTGAATTGATTACAATGATGTGTTTTCTCCAGTCGTGAAACACTCCTCCATTAGAGTTTTGTTGGCTTTGGTAGCACAGTTGAATTTGGAACTAGTTTAGTTAGATGTAAAAACTGCATTTTTACATTGGAGACTTGGAAGAGAAAATTTATATGACTCAGCCAGAAGGATTCAAAGTTGCTGAAAAGGAAAATATGGTGTGCAAACTTAAAAAATCGTTGTACGGATTGAAACAATTTTCTAGACAATGGTACAAACGATTTGACAAGTTTATGTTGCGGCAGAAGTACGGAAGAAGCAAATACGATCATTGTGTGTATTTGCGCAAGCTTGAAGACGGATCCTTCATATATCTTCTCCTATACGTTGTGATATGTTGATAGCTTCCAAAAGTCAAGAGGAAATTGAGAAGTTTGAGATGAAGGATTTGGGTGAGGCAAAGAAAATTCTTGGCATGGAGATAAAAAGAGATAGACATTCAAAGAAACTCTATCTATCTCAGAAAGAATACTTGAAGAGAGTAATAGATCGATTTGGCATGAATGAGAACACGAAATCGGTTAGCACTCCTCTTGCTCCTCACTTTAAGCTTAGTGATGCTATGTCGCCGAAGAATGAAGTTGAACGAGAGTATATGTCAAGAGTGCCATATGCGAATGCCGTTGGTAGTTTGATGTATGCAATGGTTTGCACAAGACCTGATATTTCACATGCTATCGGAGTTGTAAACAGGTATATGCATGATCCAGGAAAGGAGCATTGGCAAGCTGTGAAATGGATTTTACGGTATATTCGTAATACTGTAGATGTTGGATTGATTTTTTAGCAGGAAGATAGTCAATATCTGGTTGGATATTGTGACTCGAATTATGCAGGTGATTTGGACAAGCATAGATCAACTATTGGTTATGTTTTTACTTTTGCAAATGCACCAGTTAGTTGGAAGTCTACTTTGCAGTCAACGGTTTCTTTGTCTATTACTGAGGCAGAGTACATGGCAATTACAGAGACTGTAAAGGAGGCAATTTGGCTTCAAGGGTTGCTTAGAGAGCTTGGTATTGGTCAAGAAAGCATCACACTATTTTGTGATAGTCCGACTGTCCGAGTGCTATCCAATTAGCAAAGAACCAAGTTTATCATGCAAGGACGAAGCACATTGATGTTCGATCTTACTTTGTACGAGATATTATAGAAGAAGGTGGAGTCATGGTGCAGAAAATTAGGACTACAGACAACCCTGCCGATATGCTAACAAAAGTAGTAACTGCGATCAAGTTTCAAAATTGTTTAAACTTGATCAACATTGTTGAACTTTGAAAATTGAAGTTGAAGACACAATCAAAATTTATCAGTGAGAGAAAATTGAAAAAGTCGAATCTTGCCAAGGTGGAGATTTGTTGAATTTGACAAGATTAATGTGAACTTGTGTGAACATTTGAAGCCTTTTTTTGGAAGAAATTGGTAGATGCATTTTTCATGCATTTACATTGCATGATCACACTTAATATGATGTCATGCATGACATTATTAAGGCCATTTCCCTTCTATAAATAGCAAGGGTTTTGTTCATTTGTAAACATCTCTAACTTGTCTTCTTATCTCCTAAGGCATTTGAATCTTCTTTCTCTCTTGTAGTATTTCGCTTGTATTTTTTGGAGTGAAATAAAATTTGAGTTGATTGTGTCTGAGGACTAGGCAAAAATTAAATTTTGCCGAACCTCGTTAATTTCTGGTGTTCTTTTTATTATTGTCTCATTTATTATTTATTAGCTACCTTTAGATATAGTAGTTGTGATTTAATCACTCTCTATATATTCGGCTTCCACAACAAAAGCAACATACAAAATAATTGGCGAAAACCATTCTGGGCGTGGGGAGAAGCAGAGCAAAGACTTCAGTATTTTTTCTAACGCAAATACTTCCATTCCCACCTGGCAATGCTACACAAGAAAGTAAAGACAATAAACCTGAGAATACATTATGGAGTACTTATTTTGCTTGGTGGTCCAAGTATATGGAATCACAACAATAACAATGAGGTACTTAACATTAGAATGTTGGGTCATATATTTTTGAGAACCTTTCTATGACCAGAAATGAAAATTGGAAAGGCGTTGTCCATTTGGGACATCCTAAAGAGAATGGGGCTTCTGAGTGGGATAGATGGAGCCATGGAGGAATTCCTGCTACTCACAGTAGTTGATCTTAACCAATTACTATAAATTTCAACATACACTTGACTTGAAAACTAGTTCAGAATTGGTCAATAAGCTGGTTTATCCACTCAAGATCATTCTGCAAAGTCTAGTGGGAAATTATCACCCTTTGTTAACTGTTAAGTATCTCTGTCATTGTGTAACTTAATATAAATAGATAGTATTTCTGATAAGGTAATCAGTATAGTTGATTGTTATTGTGAAAGAATCTGCGCATTCAATCCAAAACCATAAGCAATGGATGGAGTAGCGCAGGAGCATCCAATCCAAAACCTTGAGCAATGGATGGAGTAGCGCAGGATCTTTATAAACCCGTTTTTTAACCCCTCACACTATCTGTATGGACAAATATAACACAACTTGTACTTTATATGTGCTGTGTCAAGCGCTATATAGATGTACATTTTCATTACTACTAATGAAATAGTTGATGACTTGATGTGTAGGGGCGGAGCTAGACTGTCGGGAGCAGGTTCGGCCGTACCCAGTAACTTTAGTTCGAACCTTGTATTTGTCTTAAAAATCCATTGAATATGTATAAATTATTAATTTAGAACCCAGTAACTTAAAACAATTAGAATCCCGAACCCATAAGCTTGAAATCCTAGCTCCGCCTTTGTTGACGTGGTAATTGTATAATGTAGAACAGCCCCAAAATAAGGCTGAATCTAAATGCTTCTCAACTGTTGCTTATAATAAATCCACACAAAGTTTGGTACCTTTGTTGATACCTTTTCGTCTGCTTATCTAAAGTTGCTGATATGGTTTCATTCTTTTGTCAAAAAGTTAGTATGAGTACCATTTTTAGAGAATTCTGATGAAATCTTACATGTATGGTGTAAAACACAGCATCTAGCCGCATCCAAGGGACATGGAGATATTGCCGTTTTCCTTATCCAAAGAGGAGTGGAGATTAATGCTAGAGGTAACCTCTTTTTTGTGTTTCGTGTTTACTCCATCTCTAAAACTCTTCAATTTATTTTTATTGATGTTTAATTCTCTCCTCAAAGAAATTCTCATAAAAAACTTCTCTAAACAGATAAGTTTGGCTCCACTGCATTGCTTGAAGCGGTTAAGAATGGCCATGATCATGTGGCTTCTTTGCTTATGGAAGCAGGGGCACTACTAGGTATAGATAATGATGGGACTTGTCTTTGTGAGGTAGTCGCGAAAAGAGATCTAGATTATTTGAGAAGATTGTTGGACAGCGGCATCAATCCTAATTCCAAAAATTATGACTTTCGAACACCACTTCACCTAGCTGCATCAGAAGGGCTGTTTCCAATTTCAGTATTACTGTTAGAAGCTGGGGCTAGTGTCTTTGCAGTGGACAGGTACTTCTAGGAATTTAATTCACTTATGTAGTATGAGAAGAGATGCAGGTTTATTCTCTTCTCTTAGTCTTGCGTGCACTCAAATGTGATCAAGTTTAATGAGTATGAGCACTGTGCTATTGTAAGTAAATGTGTCCTTTAAAATGCATAAATATTCATGTAATTATAGCTTTTTTCATGGCCACCAGGTGCGGAGCTACATTGCATGAAGGAGTTCAATTGAATCCCTTGTCAGAAAATTTATACTGCACAAACAAGATTTAAAAAAAAAATTATGTATAAATTGCTTCAGAGATTAGTTTAGTCACAGGTTTGAGTCCTAGGTGTCTCATTCCTATACTTTTTGAATCCCCTCGTTAGAGTTCCTACTCTGCCATTTATGGCCATCTGACGAGGAGACTTACAAGTGAAAGGTTTTAACAAGGCATTCTGTGATAAACGCTGCTCTATTTTGTAAATTACCTCTCAACAATTGCATGAATTACTTTTAGCCTTTTAATGTACTTTTCTTCATCGTATCATGACTTTCAAAGACATTTTCTTTAGATATGATGTCTATTACCTTGACTAGTATACTATAGTATAACCTGCCTCTTGAAAACTCAAAAGTGTATGTATTTGCAGATGGGGAAGAACTCCACTTGATGAAGCTCGAGTAGGTGGAAACAAGAATCTTATTAAGCTACTGGAAGATGCACAGGGTAGTCAATTGTCAGAATTTTCTACAAACTTTGGAAAACAAGGTAACGTTAAATCTGAAATGTTCTCTCTATAATAAATGAATCCGAGCAGGGAGGGGGATGAATTAGGTCGATATAGACTTTGTGGCAAAACGAAGTCCTTTTCAATAAATCTTTTCTCTAGAACTTCCACACCAATGAACAATGGAGCACCATTGAGAAACACATCTACTATATCAAACCATTTTAAACATAAGAGTATCAGATTAGTTCCTAACATAGCAGACTAAAGGTATGATAAAATGTGTATAGATCACTAAAACAGAACAGCGGAATTAGAGAATTCGAGTACCAGCTACCAGAATTTAGTTTTTTTGTAATGGATATTAGATTCCTCGAGTTGCGTTTTGCAATAAGAAGATTTCAATGAGGTACAAGAATATATCGATCAGTTTTGATTGGCAACTCGAAACTAATAACGAGCCTTCAGATGATGGGTGTATATCAATTTAGAAAATCATACTCCTATTAAATAGCTTTCCTATATTTAAACCCAAGATGCTGCTAGCTCCAAGTTTGAACAAACAATAGCCTTTTTTTGGCTATTTAGGTGCAAAAACAAAGAGCATTGGACGGAAAACATCAATCCACTATTTGAACGTCTCCTTGATAAGGAATTCTAGCTTGTATGATCTGTTCTCTAACATTATGTGTTAAATGTGGGTGCAAGTGTTTAATTATTATTCTTCTCTCTCAACAATAACCTGAGCTAACCAATATTTATTGGCATGATAGATGAAGGGCAGCGGGTTAGATGCACAGTGTTGGCTTCAGACCCCAGGGATCTCAAAGACGAGAGAAGTAGAGTAGTTCTATGGGTACCACAAAGCCTTGATGAGCTCATTAACACAGCTAAGGCGCAGTTAAGAGTTTCATCAGCAAATTGTGTAGTCTCAGAAGATGGAGCCAAGATCCTGGACACAGACATGATATCTGATGGTCAAAAACTGTTTTTAGTTAGGGAAAGCACACTAAGTCTCTAAGATATTACTCAACATATATGTTGTAATTTCCTGGTGGGCTCTTAGAGGAAGAGAAGAAACTAACATAGTAATAATATGTAATAACTGAATAGATTATACAATATTGAAACTGGAGCTTTCCCGTATCACCAAGACTATAAGCTTCATCCTTGTGATTAAAAGCAGCATGAGAAGCAGTTGGGTTGTTGAGAGAGCTTGGTAATCATCTCATCTCAATTCTCATGTATATATTTGCTGATCAATGGTGGTTAAACTCGAACTTGGGATCTCTACATTATTATATTAAATTGTGTGACCACCCCGAGTAAAAGTTTAAACGGTCAAGAATGAATACATTTATTGTATACAAAATTTATTTAAGCGTTTTTTTGAGTATATAAAGGTTCACAAGTAATGTCTTGTTTAATACTACAATCATAAGTGAATTAGCATATAAGTCGTGGATGCACGTGGACTAAGGGTGGCAAGTGGGCCGCTCTCGGGCCTAAACGGGCTAAGTGGTCCGGTCCAAACGGTCCCAAATTAAACGGACTAAACGGTCTTTTTGCAGGGACCGGCCCGAGACCGGGACCGTTTGGTCCCGAGCTAAATGGTCCCTGCCCGCGGGCTAAGTGGGCCCAACGAATTTTTTAAAAAAAATTAAATAGAAATTAGAGATAAAAGGATGTTAAAAATAATATCTAAGTCTAAAGACAAAAATATTGTAAAGAGATATGCCTTGTAATTTTATTATAATATTAAAAAATATGGCAATATCTTTCTTAGTCTTCATCACCCTATGGAATGAGCACAACAAGGTACTAATACCACAATTGAGAAGAAAAATAAACTAATCAAGATGTGCCAAAATATAAGTTACATAATAGATACTAATTTTTGTTCATACAAGTTACATGGTATCTCTTACAAACTTCATAAATCTATCAAGGTCCGGAGGAATTTCCGTTGGTGGTGGCGGAAAAGTAGCTTAGTCATCACCACTTCCGGGCGAAGCAACATCCTCCGCAAGTTCAGCTAACATTTCTTCGTAAGCTTCGTCTTCATCTGGTTGTAATTCAGCACGTCCAAAATTTCTTCTTTCCGACCGAATCCAATCTCTGAAAAGTACTGATTTTTTCAAGCTCCCTCATAGACGCTCTATAATCACCGAGTTGAAGTCTTGTTTGACTAAAAGCGCTCTCTGATGCACTGTTGAAGCTTGAATAGTTAAAATGTCTCGGGCCATCCTTGAAAGAACCGGAAAGTATTTTTCTTTGTCCTTCCACCATTCCAAAAGATTAAAGGAACCGTCGGGATTCACTTCCTCAATTCCCTGCGACAAATAAACTTCAAGCTCATTTAGTTGTGAAAAATCACTACTACTAGAACCTTGAGAACCCCTAAACCCCGCCCAAGCACTAAGTGCTCTTACTCCCGCAGTTCTCTTAGATGATTGAGAATCAGAAGAAGAGGGAGTTGGAACATTTGGTCTAACATGATTTAATGCAACTTGATAAGTATTAAAAATAGTTTGAGCATTTATTCTAATTGAGGCTATTGTTTCCGGAAGTTGAGATAATTCCTCATCTTTAAGTGCTAAACCATTATAAACAGTTTCATACCAAAAATGAGGACCTCCTAATTTCATACAAGGATTTAACAAAGCAGAAACACCATAAATAGGGGGAATAGGGAAAACATATTTTTTATACTTTTTTCTCATAGAATCAATAGCAAGTTTATAAATTTCTCCACCCTCTAAAAAATGAGCAAACAAATTTGCAAGTTCTGCAATATAAACTAAACAGTTAGAAATAGTAGGATAATATTGCCCAGAAAATTCATTTGTAGCAATATAAAATTTTTCTAAAAAATCTACAAGTATTTTAACATTAGCTCAATCCCCATTTGTAAGGTGCTCATCATCATCACTTACGTGTGCATTAAATATTGAGTTTATGGGGTTTCTATATTCATATGCAACAACCAAACTTCCATACATGTAATTCCATCTAGTTGGACAAGGTTTAGGAACCTTTCTTTCTCTTAGGTCAAATTCATCGCATCTTTTAAAATATTCTCTAAGTCTACTTCTACGGTTTGAATAAAAAAGCCAGTTAAGAGCCATTTTAACCTTTCCAATTTCAATATTTAAAATCCTCATACCATCACCCATAATTAAATGGTAGATATGACAAATACATCTAACATGAAAAATATCACTAAATACAGGATTTAGCGTAGTGGTAAGCAAGGCTATAACATTTGTGTTACTAGTAGCATTATCCATTGAAATTGACATTATTTTATCACTAATGCAAAAATATCTACAAATATCTGTAACTGTGCTAGCAATAAACTGCCCTGTGTGACGTGAATTAATTATTCTATAAGAAATAATGCGCTTTTGCATTATCCAATCCTCATCAATCCAATGACTGGTAACAGTAAGGTAATCACAGTCGTTACCACTTCTACCAATATCAGTTGTAATAGCAACACGACAATTTATATGAGTAAATAAATAGCGCAAATATTGTTCATATTCATGTTTATATTTATAAATATCGCTCTATACGGTTGTGCGAGGAAAACCTTTATAAATAGGATTAAAAAAAATTCTAATATAATGCACAAAGTTAGGGTCAGAAGGAAAACTATAGGGTAAACGCATAACAGTTACCATTTTTCCCAATTCTTCCCGATCTTTTTTTGGATCATAATATAAAATACTACCGGTAACAGTANAGTAAATTGTAATAAACTATTATCGCTATCAAGAATAGCAGGTGTAGGACATATATGGAGTTTGATTCAGGGAGCTCGGGGCAGTGGAGGAGGAACAGATTGAGCACTAGATTCGTCACTCTTGGATTTTCCCTTATTTTTACCAAAAAGTTTTTTTAAGGAAGCCATCTTAATTAATAAAGTAATAGAAAATAAATAAAACAAATAAAATTATAATATTAAAACTTAATAGTTGGAACGGGTTTACCGAATTGACGAACAACTTGTTGAAAATTGATTATCGTTGAATACTTCAATTCACCAACTTCACAATTGTTTCACAAATTGTAACAATAAAGTAAGCAATTATAGCAATTATAGAAGAAAATTAGAGAGAGATTGTGATAGATTGATGATTTTGTAAGAAAAAAATGAAAGAATGAGTGGGTATTTATAGTTAAAAATAGGAAAAAAGTGTAATTATAAAAAGTTCGGGATTAAAACAAAGTTGGGGAGGTTAAATGGCTATTTTATAAATAGCCAACGACTATTTTTGACAGCCCAACGGCTATTTTTTTATTTATTTATTATTTTATAAAAATATAGCCGTTGGAACCGTTTGGCCAGCTAAGGGACCGGCCCGGTCCCGATCCCTGGCGGGCTAAATGATCTCGGGCCTGGTGGGCCCAAATCATAGGATCAGCCCACGAGACCGGCCCATGCCCATTAAAACCGGACCAAATGGTCCTGGCCCATTTGGCCCGCGGTCCCGGGCCTGGACCGGCCCACTTGCTACCCTTAACGTGAACCCATTGTTTCAGATTTTACATACACAACATACAAAACTTAAAAAATGGTTTGGAAATATACAACAATCTGCACCTTATTTAACAACGTGACAGAGAAGAAAAGGGGGGAAAAATCAGATATAGCCTAATTTACAAATGTTAACTGAAAATTAGTCACAATTTCAAAAGTAATCGAAATTTAATCACTTTTTCATGTAAAAATAAAATTTTAACAAAAATACCTTTAAAAATTTGGAAAAATTCCAGCATGTATAATGGAGTTCAAGTTTTTTACATATGAGATTCCAACATAATGTGTTTGGAGTTCCAACATAATGTGTTGGAAGTTCATACAGAGAAGCTTCATAATCCAGTATAGAACTTTCCGTATTTCAGGTAGGTATTTTTGTCCATATTTTTTCTCCGTATAAAATAATGATTATATTTTAATGATTTTGCAAATGATGGCTATTTTTCAATTAATACTCCGAAAGTTAGCTAGCATATGCTATTTTCAAGGAAAAAATGGCATTTCGGGTCAAAGTTGGACAAGCCTGGCCCGAAAGTTGGCCCAAATCCAAATGAAACCATTCTCCTTGGGCCTTTGCTGCTCGAGTTAAAGATGAAAATAAAACATAGCCATCAACACGTTATCCACCAGTAGGAACTAGGAAAGAAAGAACAACAGAAAGGATGATGAGCCTCTCCATTGCCACTCCTTCAAGTGTCACTTTTACTTCCAAAATAAACCTCTCGAAATCTTCATTTAATGGCATTCGAATTGCTCAATTCTGTCCGGTTAATCATGCTCGAACCGCTAACTATATGACTTCTTCGTCAATGGGATTGGTGGTGAAGATGGCGAAGAGGGAAGAGGAATTGAAGGAAATAAGAACCAAAACTACAGAGGAGCTTCAGGAAGAGATTGTTGATCTTAAAGGAGAGCTCTTCATGCTTCGTCTTCAACGATCTGCTCGTAATGAGTTTAAGTCTAGCGAGTTCCTTCGAATGCGTAAAAGGGTACTGTGTTGTACTTTCTATATTTTCTGATTGTACCGTTTATTTTTTTTATTAATTGTGATGTTACATTATTAGCATTAGTTAATTCTGGTACATGTTTGGGTGAAACTTGGAGCAAAATTTTGGATAAAACCGTGCTAGAATTTTGGTAACTGTGTATTGAAGCGAGAATCCTTATGATGTTTGAAGAGTTTCATCTACATGGTAAAGTCATGCTTAACTATTATCCAGTCGAAGCAATTTGACCAGCTTAAGAGGTCTCGATGCTGTTTGAAAAAGTTTTTCTAATTCTCTTGTCAACTGTCTTGTATTTTCTTCCTAATTTGAAGTTTAATGTGCGTCAATTATCCAATCCTTGTGTTTGCAAGTGTATTGACCTCAGCATAACACTCCTGAAGTCCTGAGATTACTAAGTTACTTTTCGAGAAGTCAGCAATTTCTTTGCGGTGGGTATTACACAATGTTGCAGTCATTTCTAAAATTCTTCTCATAATGAGTAGAGGGAAATCGCCTCCCTATACACAAAGATTAACATCGCTGCTGATTGAAGAATAAATGTGCTTCTGTCTCATATAAAAGTGGGTACTTTTCTCGTTGGACTCTCGCAGTTACGAGTGGCCTTACCTTTTTTGTTCCAGAACCAAAATAATGGCTGCTGAGTCTTCCATCCCTTTCCCCTGTTTTTTCGTTTTTATACTTTATCTGATGTGCCTGGATTCTTTTTTGCCTTTTCTTTTTTGAGGAGCGGAGGGGG